AGCTATAATAAATTCCCAGCCCCTCACCGGGCGGATGCGTTCCCTGCCCACTAGGCAGTCAAGCTATAATAAATTCCCAGCCCCTCACCGGGCGAATGCGTTCCCTGCCCGCTAAGGCAGTCAAGCTATAATAAATTCCCAGCCCCTCACCGGGCGGATGCGTTCCCTGCCTGCTAGGCAGTCAAGCTATAATAAATTCCCAGCCCCTCACTGGGCGGATGCGTTCCCTGCCCGCTAGGCAGTCAAGCTATAATAATACAACATAAACCACACACCAGCTGTCTCACACGCACACAAACATTCAGGAGGCAGATAGACAATCGATAGGTTCATTTAAAAAGGCACCACGTAAGAGATTACCTGTCTTGTAGCCTTCTGGAAGCCGGAAGGGGACATGGAGACAGACCGACACAAAACAGGAGAATACAGGCAAACCACTGTATTTAGGAGGTGATCAGGCTCCGGTTGTCCCACTTTCCGGAGGTCTGCTCCGGTCCCGGTTTCCGGCCGTCCGAACCGGCAAAACCCGGTGCCCCACATTGGGCGCCAAATGATGTGGAATCAATCAATTGATTATCTTGCGTATCTGCCCCCGGCCAAATTTAAAAAGATGCGTGCACGCTCCTGAAGTAATTCACACCAGACACAGGTTTCGGGTTAATGAAAAACCTGAGGAAAGTTTGTTCTGGAGGGACAGCATGCCCCTTATAAAGCAAAATTACATCATATGCATTGTCAGAGATAAAATGGAATAATACATCAATTATTGGTTAGGTGTTAAGTGGTTCATTTAGTGCCCTTCCCACCGGGTGTGATGTCACTGGTATCTTGGAGGTCTCCCCCAGATTCCAGCACCATCTTGTTAATGAGGGTGTTAGTCGATGTCAAAGGGAAACTCCCTAGTGACTATTTTAGGTAAATCACATATAAGGTTGAATAATGCTGATTGTGGTTATGCTGAGTAAATAGACATTTTATTAATATGAATTGGGTTAATATTTTTGTCCACAATACTTACCTAGATTTCAGTAAGGCTTTTGACACTGTTGCACATAGAAGGCTTATCAATAAACTGCAATCTTTAAGTTTGGTTTCCAAAATTGTTGAATGGGTAAGGCAGTGGCTGAGTGACAGACAACAGAGGGTTGTAGTCAATGGAGTATATTCGAAGCATGAGCTTGTCACCAGTGGGGTACTTCAGGGATCTGTACTTGGACCCATTCTCTTTAATATTTTTATTAGTGATATTGCAGAAGGTCTTGATGGTAAGGTATGTCTTTTTGCTGATGATACTAAGATATGTAACAGGGTTGATGTTCCAGGAGGGATAAGCCAAATGACAAATGATTTAGGTAAACTAGAAAAATGGTCAGAATTGTGGCAACTGACATTTAATGTGGATAAGTGCAAGATAATGCATCTTGGACGTAAAAACCCAAGGGCAGAGTACAGAATATTTGATAGAGTCCTAACCTCAACATATGAGGAAAGGGATTTAGGGGTGATTATTTCTGATGACTTAAAGGTAGGCAGACAATGTAATAGAGCAGCAGGAAATGCTAGCAGAATGTTTGGTTGTATAGGGAGAGTATTAGCATTAGAAAGAGGGAAGTGCTCATGCCATTGCACAGAACACTTGGAGTAATGCATGTAGTACTGGAGACCATATCTCCAGAAGGATATTGATACTTTGGAGAGAGTTCAGAGAAGGGTTACTAAACTGGTTCACGGATTACAGGATAAAACTTACCAGGAATTCTTATCTGCCATCTCATTATATGTTTGAGTATTGCAGTTTTCCATGATGTTATGCAGGGTGTATGGAAGCACTGCTCTACTTCAATGAGTCTCCTGGAAATTGCCAGGAAAACTCTAGTTGGCTCTGGATTCCCTGAAAGTTCAAAGTTGTGTTTAATGTTTTTTAATTTGTTTTTTTTTTGCAATGTCTCGTTTTTATTGGTATTTAACGACATACAAGTACATACACAACTTGGGATATGTGGGGTACAGAAAGGAAGAAGGGGGGGGGGGAAGGGTATGCTGGAGACTATTGGCGGCATCCCTTTACTTTAAGTAGGTATAGTCTCTACCTGTTGGGTACGTGTTGCGCCATGTATCGTATAAGTCTGATTCGAAGATGAGGTCTGACAGTACTTTACAGTTTTTGCGGGCTGTAGTCGTCGGGTTTTTGTCAAGGCTACGTTTGATGTCTATCGAAGGGTCCAGACTGCAGTTGAAGTCGCCACACAGTATGACATGCCCCTGTTTCATGTTATCTAGTTTTTTAAGTGCTCTACGTAAAAAGTTTGTTTGGCCATCGTTAGGGGCATACAGCGTTGCTAGTGTTACGTTGATGCCGTTAAGTGTTCCTACTAGTATTAAGAGACGCCCTGCTACGTCTGTGTGAGAACCGCTCATTTGAAATACCCAATCTGCATGGAACAGTATGGAGACCCCTTTAGTTTTGTTGGGGGAGTATGCATGGAAGGCCTGTGGATAGCGGTTGGTGTGAATTTTAGGGGGTTTTTGGGAGCACAAGTGGGTTTCTTGCAGGCATATCACTGCCGCCCTGGATTTGTGCATGTCCCTGATCGCTAGGCTGCGTTTGTGGGGGCTGTTCAGACCTTTAACATTCATGGAGAAAACCTTAAACTCATGTTGAGCCATAGGAACGGGGATCGGTATTCTTTAGCATGCGTGTACAGTGGCTGTGCCTCGTAGTCTCGGCATAATCATTTCCAAACGGAAACTCAGCGATCTTGATGAGTTCCCTGTCTCGATTGGGTGTTGGGCATGGAGACTGTTGGTATGTTATTGGAGGGGTCTGCGCTACAACTGTCCAAAGTGTCTGTTGAAGCCGATTGTGTATGTTATGTAATGGAAGCGGTACGTGGGGTAGACGGAATGGGAGACGGGAGGGAGGGAGGGCAGACATTGGGCAAGCCCGAGTAACTGGGGGAAAGCTGAACATATTACCTCTGCTTCCAGCAGAGCGTAGATCCGGAATCGTGTGGAGGGGGGCCACACTATCATCCGGCGTGGGGGACATGGGATAACTACCACCATGGACTGGCCCTTGTTAACAGCTACAACCTTTCCGAGCCTGGGGAGATGTACCAGTCGCCCCTGTTTTGTTTATTGCGTCCAGACAGCTTATTATAAGGTGTCGAGTGTAGTGGGAGAGGTGTTGAGTGCCCGGCATAATGGCTAAACCTGTGCCGCGGGAACTTGGGTCGCTGGTGGTGTTGCTAATGTGTGCCTGGTGAGCCCCGGTCTGTCGCGGGTAACCCATCCGGCCCACTCATTCCTGTAATAGTTTGTGTGCCACAAGGTGAGAGTGACATAACAATATATCATACATAAACATATATCAACAACAGTAGCATGAGGTCAGATGCATGTGAGATAGCCTCATAAGTGATATTGGAGAACGTCCAGGATTACCAGTCATGCCACAGTAAGCCATGGCAGCAATGGTGGGCCAGACTACCAGCGGGCCTATTGCCCAGAAGGGGCGTGGTCGGGTGCCTGGGTGTCTCGTGAATAAACTCCCAAGAGCTAACATATCTGGGCTAAATAACCGCTGTTTACAGAGGCAATGATGGGGGCTAATGGGGTTCGTATGCACTTAGACGACACTACCTGCTCCTATAAGGTTGTTGAGTGGGGCCGTGGTGTCAAGAGTTACCAGCTATGCCTCAGAGACTAATAAGCTATGGGTGGGTGGATGGGCTTGGGCGAAAGAGCCGGCTCTGGCTAAACACGTGAGCCTAACTTGGGAACCAGCTCTACAATTTTTTCTTTTTTTTTTATTTTTTTTTTTTGAAACCAGTTCTCTGTAAACTACCAATTTATCATGGTGAGATTGACACAACAATATATCATACATAAACCTATACCAACAACATTAGTATGAGGTCAGATACAGGTGAGATAGCCTCATAGGTGACATCGGAGAACGCCCAGGATTACCAGTCATGCCCCGTAAACCACGGTAGCAATGGTGGGCCAGATTACCAGCGGGACTAGTGCCCAGAAGGGGCGTGATCGGGTGCCTGGGTGTCTTGTAAATATACGCCCAAGAGCTAACATATCTGTGCTTAATAACCGCTGTTTACTGAAGCGATGATGGGGGCTAATGGGGTTCGTATGCACTGAGACGACAAGTCCTACTCTTATAAGGATGTTGAGTGGGGCCGTGGCGTCAGGAACTACCAGCTATACCACAGAGACTACAAGCTATGAGTGGGTGAATGGGCTTGGGCGAAAGAGCCGGCTCTGGCTAAACGTACGGGCCTAACTTGGGTACCAGCTCTACTTTTTTTTTTGAAACCAGTACTCTATGAACTAACAAATTATAACTCAGTACTATGCAATATCATTAGGCAGATTATCAGACACCAATGATACTCAAGCGTCCGGCGATGAGGTGAGCTGCATCCCTCGAGATGATCGGATAGGGTCAGTTCCTAGGGAGAGAAGCCACGGGGTCTCCGGCCATCTTCCACTCCGGCCTTATTTTCGAAGGAGAGGTGCGAGCCGGGAAGGCCTGTCCTTGTGCGTGATGTAGGCCCCATTCTTTCAACTTCGCCAGGCCTACCTCCGGTTCCAAGATTGGCACAGTTCTTTCGTGATACCACACCAGCAATTTTGTCGGGTAGCCCCAATGGTATGAGATGTTATTATTCCGGAGGGTTTTCGTCACATCCACAAATTCCCTTCTCCTTGCCATCGTCGTCGCCGATAGGTCAGCGTAGATTTGGATGTGTTGATACGGTTCCGGCAGACTTGAAAGCTTCCGTGCTGCGTTGAGAAGTTGCTCCTTTGCTTTGTAATAATGAAATCGAGCTATAGTGTCCCTGGGGGTATCCGCGGTGAAACGGGCCGGTCTTGGGAGTCGATGAGCGCGGTCGAACTCCCATGTGGTGACCTCGGCTTGCGGAACCAGTGTTTTGAAGAGGGTCACAAGATATTGGGGTAGCGCTTCATTCGAGATTGAGTCAGCTATGCCCCTGAATCTCAGGTTGTTGCGTTCTTCCTCCAAGATGTAGTTTATCGACTACATCGTTATGGGCCACGCATAGCTCTTCGGTTTTAGTTTCAAGATGACTGGTGCGGCCACCTATATCTGCAATCTCTTTTTTCAATTCAGTAGTAAGCTGGCGCAGATCCGATCGGAACGACGACTGCAAGGATTGTAGCATGGTTTGTATGCTTTTGTTGGTGACTGGCATATCCTCCGCTGCTTGTGGTTCGCAGTCAGGTTCTGTGTGGCATTCCGGTGACAGCGGGAGCTCCTCGTGGCCGTCGCCATCTTGGATTTGCCGGGGCTTCTCTTTTCTGCCCTGGCGCACCGGATCCGTAAGTTTGGTCTGTTTAGAGGGAGCCATGGTGCTAAGTAAAGTGTTCTCCGCTCGTTACCGGGGTCGGATAGGCTGGGGAATCTGCTCATTTGTCGCTCAGGGCCTGTTAGGATACGGAGCAATCACGGCATGCGACTGCTCCCGTCGGTGGTCAGCCACGCCCCCCTTTTAATTTGTTTTAAAAGTGAGACATGAGGATCAAACTTTGGTAGCCAAAAGGAGAGAAAAATAAGCAGACAAGGGTAGAAAAGAAAGCTCCAAGACTGGAGGAAATAGAAGAAGTGGCAGAAAGAGAAAATAGGGGAAAGAATAACATGTGAAGGAAGAAGCAGTATGAGAAGAGTGGAAGGATGCTTTTACTGGTACTTACCTCCCATCAATCATGTGGAGCTCCTATTTGATCTTCCTGTCTGGTAACACTTCAGGCATCCATGCCCCCCTTTTTATGATGCCACACTCATGTGTCAATGTCATCTTACTAGTGAAAGGGAATTGTATCATTCTCAATGGCAACTCACATTTTGGGTGCATGGTTATGACCTTACACATATAAATAGAGATTTTTCCAACTGTTCAATGCCCTGTTGTGCTTTTCCTTTGGACCCAGTAACACATTGTTCTGTATTATAATTTACTAGTTTCCTGAGCTAGCTTTTCAATTGACAACTCTGATTTCTGATACCCTTGACTTGGCTCGGTTTTGTCAACTACCTGATTGCTGGTGTCCCTTGACTTGGCTTGTTTAACATTTACTCTGTTACAATATCCTATTTTCAAGCCACAAGTCATAATTTAATTACAAATGTAAAAACATTTAGTAGAAGGGAAAGCGCGTTTTTGATAGTGAATATATATTCATAAAAAGCCATAAAATTTACTATATATGTATTTCGGTATGTCCCTTTAAACATTTATTTATTGGGGTGTGTCTCTTGAAATATTCCCAAACACATTTCTGAACTTGTATCTATCCACATATGTTTCCTTCAGATAATAATGCGTTTTCATCGTCATAGAATTAATCTATATTAATGTGCATTTCTTTAAAAGTCCTTCATTTGATTTAACACATTCTCTGCTCTTTAACATATATTTTAAATTGCTTCCTCAAATCTGTCAAAAGTGATGCAAGGGGGGACAACCAGTAAACTGCATCATAGGCTAGCCTGTTTGGTCTGATCACATTGAAGAGCTACTTAAGCTAAATTTTCTGAAAAACATAATGCTGATTATGATAGAAAGGTATCAGAACACACAGAGCACCATGTAGAATTGAGCATCAAATTGAACCACGGAGCAATGGAAAAAGGTTGCTTGGTCTGATGAATTGCATTTTCTTTTAAATCAAGTGGATGGCCTATCATGAGTAGATGATAAAGTTCCACTTTTTCACATATTTCTGATAAACAAATTTCTGATAAACAGGACAGAGGTGCGTATTGATCCTTTGAATGGCCAGGGTGGCACTAGAAACAGAAAATGTCTGCAAGCAAACTGAGAGTAAATGTGCACAAGCCGGGTAATACAAGCCACAGTTAGTATTACAGAAAACAGATACCAGAAAATAAACATAGGAAATGTACTCATGGGTATACAAAAACCACAACAGGACAAGAAATAAAGGACAACCTGTAAGTATTTATACCATACACTGGGCTGTAATTGGTTGATCACACCAATGATGTTATAGTGTGCTATCAAATTGAACGTCAGACCCTATCATCCACTCGATGGGAAGGAGTTGCCCTACAATGTTAGTCAGTGTGATACATCTGGAGTGTAGGGTTATTCTGCAGAATGGCTTGCGCCTGCCCTCTGACATTCTGTATTGCGGCCAAATGCAATTTCAATACTGACATCCCTTTATCAGCAAAGGAGGCTGAGATGAAAGCTGTAGTTATTAAAGAATGTGCTGTGACCAGAGGACTCATGGACAGCATTATTGCATATAAATACAGTCCAGGAAGGCTGGTCCTCCTAATCATCCTGCAGGTCGCCTATAGAGCAATGTAAATGTTCTTAAAAGGATTGATTGGTGTGTTCAGCAGTTCCATTAGTTTTAGGGTGATAGGCAGACAAGAGATAGAGTGATACCCATCCCTGTGCAAAAAATCCTCCAAACTGCATGAAACTATACCTTGGTGAATGACATGGAACTGTAATACCTCATGGGCAGATATCTTGGTTAGCTCAGCTGAAGTTGATGTTGGGCATGAAATTAGCTTTCTTGCTAAATTGATCAACCACCATTCAACTTACCGTGTTACCATTAGAGGGTGGGAGATAAACCATAAAATCACTGGATAAATGTGTCCAAGGTTTTGCAAGTATAGTTAAGGGTTGCAATAAGTTTGTGAGTACCTTTGGACTGATAGTCATAATTTACAGGAGGAATATATAAACATGCTGTACAGTAAGATTTACAATTATGGGGCGGGGCCGGACTGCTATGCTGACTGGTGGCATGCAGGAGAGGCCCTGGAGGAATCTGGCCTCTTAGGCTACAATTTGCAGCCCTGGTCATCGAAACAAGCCCAAGAGACTTCCACATGGCAGTGGAAGAGGTAGCGGCCCCAAGATCTGGAGTTTCGAATCCTCTGAGGGAAGCACGAAGCTTCGGAGGCTGCAGTCTACTCGGGATGGGAGAGGGGTGGATGGCCGCTGCCCTGTCTCCCTTCCCAGCTACCACACCGGCTTACTGAGACGCTTGCCGGTCCCGCTTTCCCCCCTGTGGGCCAGGGGGGTTATCCCGGTCCCCACTGCGGAGAGCTAGAGAAGTGGAGAGACTTGGTGGCACTGAAAACCAACGGCATACCTTGCAAGATGGCAGCGGCTCCGATCTCATCACCAACAGCTCCTGCTTTATAGAGCTCTTTGGAGGAGAAATCACACCATCCACCGCAACGGACGACCTTTGGTCTGCAACATGCAACCCCTGGTAGGGGCCGGGGCTGGGGTGGAGTAATGTAATCATGCCACAAAACTGATCTAACTGGCACACTCTCCAAACAGCTAATAAGCTTGACAAGCATCAAAGTTGGAGGATTAACAAGCTTGGAAAGGGAAGCTCTACTGCCACCAAGAAGGGTCCCTGTGTAACTTGCAAGAGCCTGAAATTATTTTGCTAATCCAGACCTACTAACCTACCTCTTAAGGGACTGCACGTCTCATGCGACTTCATCAAGGCACTCAGTGCAACCATAGAGACACTCACAGCCCAACACAGCAGGTGCTCTATAATGATCTCCCTGAATAGCTGTCAAGCCTGCCACACATAGGAGTTGGCTGAGAACCAAACATTGGATATGAATGTTCTGCTGCCACCCAGCTGCATTTATGTAATACGTAAAAATTACTACTGTCTTTTATTCTTTTGTTATGTTTCGACCTGCTGTCTGAACTTTCAATTGATATCACTTCCTAAGCAAAACACCCTTCAATCAATATACCTACTCACTGTAGCAATTACAACCTTTTATAGCAAAGTCCCTATAAGAGACAGCAGATATACAATCCCTCACTGCTTGAAGTACAATAGATTCAGTCGTATTGCTCAGATATGCTTTCACTTTTATGCCTACATGTTATGACATCGTATATTGACCCAGTGGTAACTATCTATTTGGTGCCAACTAGTTGATCAAACTTGATGTTACATAGTTACATAGCTGAAAAGAGACTTGCGTCCATCAAGTTCAGCCTTCCACATTTGCTTTTGCTGTTGATCCAAAATAAGGCAAAAAAAAAAAAACAGTTTGAAGCACTTCCAATTTTGCAACAAGCTAGGAAAAAAATTCCATCTTGACCCCAGCATGGCAGTCAGATTTATCCTTGGATCAAGCAGTTATTACCCTACATTGAAAGATTATATCCTTGAATATTCTGTTTTTGCAAGTATGCATCTAGTAGTTGTTTGAACATCTGTATGGACTCTGATAAAACCACTTCTTCAAGCAGATAATTCCACATGCTTATTGTTCTTACAGTAAAAAAACCTTTCCTGTGCCTAAGGTGAAATCTTCTTTCTTCCAGTCTAAACGCATGACCTCGTGTCCTATGTAAAGTCCGGTTTGTGAATAGATTTCCACACAATGGTTGGTATTGGCCCCCAATATATTTGTATAATGTTATCATATCCCCTCTCAGGTGACATTTTTCTACACTAAATAGGTTTACATTTGTTAACCTTTCTTCATAGCTGATATGTTCCATTCCTTTTATTAATTTTGTATCCTTAAGCCAATGTTCTACCCAAGAACAAGAATATTAATCTAGACCAATTTCTTTTAGTTTGAAGACTAACCTATTTTGAGGAACCGTATCAAATGCCTTGGCAAAATCCAAGTAGATCACATCTACTGCAACACCCTGATCTACACTTCTACTTACTTCTTCATAGAATGCAATTAGGTTAGTTTGACATGACCTATGTTTCATAAAACCATGCTGATTATTGCTAATAACAAAGTTCTTCCCAATGAATTCCTGAATATAATCCCTTAATAGCCCTTCAAATATTTTCCCAGTCACAGAAGTTAAGCTCACATGTCTATAACTTCCAGGCAAGCATTTTGAACCCTTTTTAAATATAGGAACAACATCTGCATTCCTCCAATCCTCCGGTACAATGCCTGAAACAAAAGAATCTTGAAAAATTAAATACAGAGGTTCACTTCTTTCCCCACTTAGCTCCTTAAGTAATCGTGGGTGAATATCATCAGGCCCCGGAGCTTTATTTACATGAATTTTCTTTCATAGCTGTAGCACCTTGTCTTGAGTTATCCAATCATAAGTTATCTGCAAGTTTTTTGCAGCAATCATTTGCATATCTCTTGCCATAGGATCCTCATTACTATATACTGAAGAAAAATAGTTATTTAAAATTTCTGCTTTTTCCTGGTCTTCATTAGCTAACAAACCCATCTCTGTTTCCAGTGTACCTACACTTTTTTATTTTTTGTTTTTTTAGAATTGATGTACTTGAAAAGGTTTTGGGTTTGGTTTTGCATTCTTTGGCTATCAATTTCTCGTTTTCTAGTTTAGCCACTTTAATTGCTTTTTTGCAAGCATTATTGGCTTCCTTATATCTTAAATGCTTTACAGACCCTTTTCTTATTTTTAATCTCTTGTTTTACTTCTCTACTAAGCCACATTGGTTTTAATTTGTTTCTTTTAAATGTATTACCCAATGGTACATACTGAGAAATGTACCTTTCTAGTATTTGTTTGAATAGTTTCCACTTATCCTCAGTGGTTTTTTTTTGTTTGTTTTTTAATTCTTTATTTTTGCATGACAAGAACAGTGACATAGAAATTGCATTTTGGCTTGCGCAGAAGCCCCTATACAACGGTGTAAGCTAAGCACTTTTCACCCCATGGTAGTACCCAGAGGTGGGGTTGCTCCAAGGCTATATGTCACCGTCCGTCACGTTTTTTACCATATATATGCCTTGGTTTTATATCCTCTGTTATGTGTACCCTCTCATCTATCCTTCGCACCACCAGTGTATTTTTAAACCCTCAAGTGCAAGGCTATCGGGCTTCTGCTGTCTGTTGCCTGTCTACCCTCCCGACTGCTAGGTTCAGCTCCCTCCCGCTGCACTCCCCCATCTCGCCTCTGTCTGGTGCATGTTGAGTATGCTGCTGGCACTCTCTACTAGGCCAAATCCCCCGAGAGGGGATTAGAGAAACAAGAAGAAAAAGAAACAGAATAGGAAAGAGAGAGGAGTCCTTAGGCGGCCCCGGGCACCAGCCCGGGAGGCCGAGGGGGAGAGGCCGGGGAGCAGGGGTCCCGTTGCGCCAAAAAACCACCCCTCCCTCCCCTTTGGAACCTACCCCACCTTCCCCCTACACCCTCCCCCCTACCCCACGTCCACCTCGGTCTATTTCCTAGGTCGCGCCCCTCCCTCCACTATCTCCCCACCGGGACCCATCCCACGGCTCCCACACCGGTTGAAAGGTCCTAGAAGTACCCCTGACCCTAGCCGTAAGGTCATCCATCACCCGCATGTCTTTAATCCTATCTATCACACTCATAATCTGCGGTAACTTCTGCTGTAGCCACCTGAGGGCCACAGCCTGTCTCACTGCTAGCGTGATCTTATGGAGCAGCCGTTGCTCCCTTCGCGTCCACTCCTTGACCGATCTGCTTAGGAGGTATACCAATGGATCCAACGTGGGTGTCCTGGAGAACACCTGTCTCACCAGGTTATGCACTTCCGCCCAAAACTGCCCTACTCCGGGGCATTCCCACCACATGTGGTAATACGTTCCCTTGGCCCCGCAGCCCCTCCAACACAAATCCGACGTAGTTTTATGCATTTTGTACAGGGTTACAGGGGTGGAGTACCAGCGAAACATTGTTTTAAACGCTTGCTCCTGGTGCCGTACACAGATGGAGGAGGTGTTGTTCGCCTCACATATCTCCAGCCATTCTACCCCCTCTAGCTCTTCTCCCAAGTCCTTCTCCCATCTCTCGGTATATGCTAAGCCCCCCCATTCCCCGGACTCCGTGCAGAAGTGCATATACAGTGTTGAGATCAGTCGTCTGGGTATGTTTTCGGAGGTGCTCATGCGCTCAAAAAAGGTCAGGGGTTTTATTGCTGCTTCCTTTATGTGTGGTTGGGCTGCAAAGTCTCTAATCTGTATATAGCGGAAAAAATCTGTCGGTGTCAGATGCCTAACCTGTCGGAGCTCATCGAATGGAACCATTTCGGTGCCCCGATATAAATGGTGGAGCCTCTGTAGGCCTGCTCTTTCTAAATTCCGAAACATTCGCGCCTCTATGCCCGGATAAAAAGCTTTGTTATGTAAGATGGGCGCAAGGGGAGACGGGGAGGACGCCAACCCATATTTCTTCCCATAATTGTCCCACAGCCTGAGGGAATTCGCCACTGCAGGGCATGCTGCCCTGGTCAGGAGTCTATTCTCCCCTGGAGTCCACATGACAAATTGGGGTTGGTCTATCCCCGACATGAGCGTCTTGATTTCCACCCATTTCCGCTTGTCGAGTGGTGAGTGCCAGAGCGCTACCGGAGACATTTGGGCCGCCAGGTAGTAGAAAAATAAGTTCGGGAGACCTAGGCCCCCTCTCCGTTTAGAGCGATACAGGACGTATCTCGAAACCCGTGGCCTTTTATTTTGCCAAATAAAGCGACCAATAGCCTGTTGGATTGGTGCTAATTGGGCCTTCGACAAGTGTATGGGTAGTGCCTGGAACATAAACAGTATCCGAGGGAGGACATACATTTTTATGGCATGGATCCGGCCTATCCACGATATAGGCTTGTCTAGCCACGTTTCAAAATCTTTGGTTATGGTTCTCCACCAGGGCGTAAAGTTGCGGGCATACAGGGCACCCGGGTCCGCCGTGAGGCTTATCCCCAGATATTTAAGGGCCTCTCGCTCCATCTGGATTTTGTAGTTGCGGTGTATGTTTTCTATTTCGGTTTGAGTCATGCAGATAGGGAGAGCGCTGAATTTGGCCATATTGGCCCGATAGCCCGAGATTTCTCCATATTCCCGCAACTTCTCCCCTAAGGCCACCATTGACCCCTCCGGGTTCGTCAGCATCAAGAGAACATCGTCTGCATATGCAGCCGCCACAAACTCTCTCCCCCCCCCACCCTGACCCCCTGTATGTTGGGGTCCTGCCGAATTGCCTGCAACAACGGCTCCAAAGCCATGACAAACAACAATGGGGACAGGGGACAACCCTGTCTAGTGCCATTGTGCAGGCAAAAGGGTACAGGGGACGCGCCCGTGATCTGCACCTGCGCTCTCACGTTGCTGTACATAGCCTTCACAACTCTAATGTACGGGTCGGGGAATCCTAATTGGGAAAGCAGGGAGAACAGATAAGGCTATTTCACTCGATCAAAAGCCTTTTCGGCATCGTTAGATACAATCAGTGTCGGAGTCTTAGTTGTAGCGTGCTTCCAAATGAGGCTAATATTTCGGCGTGTGTTCTCGAATAGCTGTCTACCCGCCACAAACCCTACCTAGTCTGCATCAATGAGATGAGTAAGGAAGGGGGCGAGTCTTCATGTCATGGTTAATTAATGAAATGGGCCTATAACTGCCTGGTAGCAGAGGGTCCTTGTCTGGTTTGGGCAATAAGACTATTGTGGCCAACGACATATCCGGGGTCGGTGTTCCCTCTATGCGAAAGTCGTTGAATAGTGTATGTAGGTGGGGGGTTAGGGCCTCCCGAAAGGTTTTATAGTATGCCCCGTCGAAACTGTCGGGGCCAGGGGCCTTATTTCCTTTTAATCCGGAAATCGCCTTATTTATTTTGCTTTCCGTGATTTCAGCCGTGAGGCCCTCCGCCGCCTCCCGCGGTAGCTTCGGTTACTGTATGTCTCCCAAGAACCGTTGTAAGCGCTCCTCCCCACTAGTGCTCTCCCTTCTGTCCCCAGGGGAGTGGTCGTATAGTGTCTTGTAATATTCCGTGAAAACCGCCGCAATGTCTCGGGGCGCTGTCTTGAGGGACCCGTCATGATGTCGAATTGTCGTTATATGAGTGTGCTGCAGTCGGGGTCTCAGGGTCCTGGCTAGCAATGTGTCCATTTTATTAAACTTCTCATAGAAGGTCCGTCTGGTCCACGTCAGAGCCCTAGCCGCGTCATCTAATAGTAATTGTCACACTTCCCCCCTCCCCCCTCCACCTCCCTCCGAGTATCCTGAGTAGGGCGCGTTTGGTGTATATGCTCTAACTGCTTAAGGTTCGTTAGAAGTTTAGTGAGGGCCTCCGCCTTTTGTTGTTTCTTTCTCGTGGCCAACTTAATTAGAACCCCTCTGATCACCGCTTTATGCGCCGCCCATACGACGCTCGCTGAGACATCTGGAGTGGTATTGGTCTCAAAATACGCCCTGATCTCTTGATGTACATGCGCCACTAGGTCCGGGTCTCTCAATAGCAATGCATTGAGTTTCCATGACCAGGGAGAGGCCCCGCACAGGTTCCCCAAAGTAAGTGATACTGCCGTGTGATCTGACCATGTTATAGGCTCCACCGATGTGGCTGTGACTCTCACGAACCCCGAGGCATTGGTTATAAACATATCTATCCATGAATAGGTCGCGTGTGGGGCGAAATAAAAGGTATATTCTGAGTCCCCCGGGTGCTGCGCCCTCCAGACATCTATCAGGCCCGTGTCTTTTACAAAAGTAGAGAACATTTTGTCCTGTCTCCCTCGTCCCTGTGACCTAGGCACCCCCCCAACTGAGCTCCTGTCGATTGCCGGGCTCGATGTGGCATTAAAGTCCCCCCCCACTATGGTCATGCCGTGCCCTAGTGCCCGTATCTTGGTTTGAAGGGTGTTCCAGAACCCCGGGTCCGGGTGGTTAGGGGCGTATACATTTATCAAGTTAATGTTGTGGGAGTAGAGGGTCCCTGTCACTCTTACGTAGCGTCCCTCAGCGTCCATGTCAGTGTAATCAACCCGTAAGGGGCAGCTCTTCCTGATCAATGTGGCCACCCCACACTGTTTCCTGCCCGCCCGGGACTCGTACGAGCCCGTGTAAACATGGTCCCTAAGTCTCAGCTGCACAGGTTTTGGTAGATGTGTCTCCTGGACAAAGGCAAAGTCCGCCCCCGTCCGCTTCATTTCCTTATACAGCATGCGCCGCTTTTGAGCCCCGATCGTTCAACAATATTAGCTTAAGCGCCATCCGTCCCACCCAGCGCCCGCTCCATCAAGTTAACTGCCCAGTCATGTGTCTCATCCCACTATGTTTCTGTTATGCCTATTATATCATATTGTTTAGTGTATGCTATTGTCTCTGGCTCCCACATTTTGTTATATAGGCTCCTTGCATTAGTAAGCATACATTTAATATTATCATGAGTCATTTGTACTTTTTGTGAATTATCAATATTACATACCTCCTCTGTTCTGAGCTTTCCCCTCCCCCCATCTCCACCCCCTTTGTTCTGAGCTAAAGCCCATCTCCTTTCTATCCTATTTCCATTTTCTAGATTGCTTTGACCCCCCCTACTACTAGTTTAAAATCTCCTCCAACCTTCTAGCCATCCTATCCCCCAGCACAGCAGACCCTCTTCCGTTTAGGTGCAATCCATCACGATTATACAGGTTGTACCCAGGCGCAAAATCGGCCCGGTGCTCTAAAAACCCCAAACCCTCTTTCCTGCACCAAGACTTCAGCCACGCATTGACCTCTCTAATCTCCTGCTGCCTTTCTGCTGTGGCGCGCGGCACCTTGGAGATCCTTTTCTTTAGCTCACTTCCTAGTTCCCTGAACTCATTCTTTAGGACCTTCCATTTACCTCTGACTTTGTCATTGGTACCAATATGGACCATGACAGCTGGTCTTCCCCAGCCCCTCCCAATAATTCCTCCACTCTGTCAGCAACATGCCGGACCCGAGCACCCGGGAAACAGCAAACTGTCCAGTTGAGTCGATCAGAGTTGCAGATTACCCTATCTACTTTCTTAATAATAGAGTCCCCTACCACCACAACCTGTCTAGACTTCCTTACCCTCTCAACCCCACCTGTACTAGAGAGGCTGTTCCCACGGCTGTTAGAAGGAACAGCTTCCTGCAGTACAGCTACTCCTGAGCTGATGCTCCCAACATCTTCACTCAAACGGGCAAATCTGTTAGGCTGCACAAGCTCAGGACTAGCTAAACCTTTCCTCTTCCCTCCCCCTCTGCTTCCTCACCTTACTGTTACCCAGCCTGTGCCTGTTCTCCAACTGTCTCATCTCCTCCCACTCCACTACCAGCACCCACTAAACTCTGCTCAATGAGCAGCAGACTCCTCTCAAGATTGTCAATATCCCTCAGTGTTGCAATTTGCCTCACCAGATCTCGAATGTGAGCTTCCAGAAAAGCCACTCGCTCACACACACCACAGAGGTATGGACCCTGGACAGAATAATCCAGGCATGCATACATCTTGCTAGCACTCATGCCCAGTTACGAAAAAAACAAGTGAGCAAAACAATATTTATCCTCTTAGTTTAAACTCCCTTGTAGTTTCAACTCCTGTTGTTTTAACTCCTACTTAAAAGAGACTACTTGGAATAGCCTACTTAGAACAATTACATAGTTCTCCGTCTGGTAATCCAAATTGTATTTTTAATACAGTGAATGACTTTATTTTCCCCTACAACGCAATCTGTGTTATGCTATACATATTACAATTCTTACAATTTGATGGATCAATATCGTGAATATAATATTGAAGTACCTCCAATGGTGTGGAAAGAAGTAATTTGTTAGAGATCCCCAATTTAAAAAGAAAATATTATCATAGATTTTTAACAATTATATTAGATGACATATCACTATTATATTTCTTGAGTCCAAGCACACAGCCTTACCAGATAGGCCCACTCGGGCTGAAGACAACCAGGGGATTCACCCCGAAGCATCAACCACCGGTGCAGAGGATCCGACGCCACAACTGGTGACCATCCACCAGGATCCATGACAGCCCCCGATTAGGGAAGAACGCGACCTCCACTGAGGGCACCCGAGTTCGTGGTACGCAGATGCAGGTCTCCAAGATGGCCCGGGGCAAGGGGAGGACCTGCTGGAAATGCCCCCAGATCTTTTGCAACATCCAAGCTTAACACCACGCTAACCATGGACTTTGCTCCTAACCTGAAAAGCTGGACTACACCAGCAAACACATTAACATCAGCCAGCACACATGGCCACAGACAAGACCCAAACTACCTGACAACCTTACACTGAGCTCCATCTAATCGCCACAAGACAGCACCTGACAGACATACACCACAACGTTTACCTGGCACAAACACACTTATGCTCCGACAGACACCCCCATACCTGATGCACCCAACCCTAGACCTGTATTACGGAACAAAAGCTGAACTTCCTCGCATAGCCTCCCACAGCAAACGTGGGTGCCCGTGGAAACACAAGCACATAGCAAAACCATGAAGCCCAACTGACTCTTAAGCGACCTGACACCCATTCTTATACAGCCTGTAAACACTTCACACCAGGATGTACAAGATTCTGTGAACTCAGATATATATCTTTAAAATGTGCCCGTCTAACAAATGCTCCAAGTTTTAACTACGAAAATGCGCTTGAGGACTGCCGTTGGGCCACCACGAGCCTGTATGTACCACCTAGCATGCACAAGAAAAATATATTTAAAAAAAATAATAATATAAAAAATAAATAATTAAAAAAATATATATAAGTGTAATTTCATTCTAACTGTTTTTTGATATATATTTTATATATATATATATATTGATATCAAAATACACTTAGAACAAAATAATATAGATCTATATACATAAATATATATGTATATATCACTATATATATGTCTATATATAAATAAAAATAATTTAAAAAAAATAATATATATATAAATTCTACATATATATTTATGTTATATTTTTACATAATCAAGTCAATTGTATTAATTACAATTTGCGGACATCCCCCATTTGCAATACCTTGGGTTGACTAATATTGCAAATAGTATGCCATCATGGGGGTAATTCTCATTCCTGGGCTACGATACGGTCTCAAAGGCAACATTACAAACCTGGCAAATTTCA